AGGTGAGCATACCATTTGAACCCAGCATGGTTGGGGATGGGGGGGAGGGGGCTGAAGTTCCTCTTTTTCCACTTGAGATAATGTTACCGATTTCCCCCAAGTTTACAAGAATTGCATACAATGGTTTTACATTTGAAAATGCCTTGTCTTTCTTCTGCATTTCCCACCTACACAAGAATGATGACGCTGCACTGCCCCCAGACTCCTGGCATATGAACGTCATGTATCCCGGAAGTCTTCAGGCAAATCTGAGTTCTGGCAACGTGTTAACAATACCATTCTCTGGCTAGAGTGCTGGGTATGCATGTGTGGGATTGGAGGTAAGTTCTCAATGGGGACTGGCTTTGAAAATAAGGAAGGGGCCACATCACCAGACACACCTGGGTGAAAATGGCGGCTCGGGGCGGAAGAGACACTCCGAAAACTGACCGGCATGCAAGCCAGCATGTAAAAGTAGGGATGTCTGTTCAATTTGCTATGTGATCACATTTTTAACTGTCTTTTTTTATTATTTACAGGATTTGGGTGAATTTCCTCTTATATCCCAACCATATTGTTCTCTTACCTGAGTGATCTCCTCAAGTTCCTGTAGAATTGCCTCTTCATCCTCTGAGGTCAGAGTTCCAGCCAGAATTTCATCAATTTGCTGCAGAAAAAAGGTGAGACACTGCGATGACTTCAACAGATAAGACCCTCTCCACCTACAAATATATTATATTCCATATCTCTACAGACCTGGATATTCTGTAGCACTTTGCAATGTACAAAGAGACAATTCATACCAGTGACCACGCCAGAGGCGCTTCCAATCTAAGGTATCTAGCACAGTCAGACACCCGGTACAAGGCGGATTACAGTCAGGAGCCAAATAAACTTCTGTTATGTTCTGGAGCGGTGTGTAGAAACCCATCAAGACACCTATAACTCCCAAACGGTAATAACTTACCCGTTGGTAATCAATGCCTTCCTGTGTCTCGTCCATAATCTTCTCCACCTCTTCTATAGACATCACCTGGAAGGGACCAAACACGTTAACTGTACAGCTCTCCACCTTTCTACCCCTCCCCCCCCCAAAAAAATAAACTACACATAAAACATTAAAGCTGAAGTGTAATGTACGCATATAACACCTTCCTTGTTCTCCCGGAACAATATGCAATTTACATTTTTCAATCAATTTCTCTTTTGGGACCCAGTGACATCATCACCGGGTCTGTCTGCTGGTCTATGATCCGTAGTTAGATAAAGATTGGTGGGAGGGGCCGGCAGCCTCCTGTAAACCTCACAGCACCCTGCCTCGCGTGTTATACCAAAAAACACTTCCCTGTCATCCATGCATTCCTGCTGGCCACTGGGTGCTGCAGATGTTGGCTGTGCCACCTGCTGATCAGATGCTCGAGTACATTCTAATAGAGTGATTAGCAACCTCCTACAACATGTTAAGAGTAGGAAGGAATGCCGTGAAGAATTACGAGGCGCTGCATATATAAAATGAAGACAATGCAAGTTTGCGTTTCATGGCGAGGCTCGTATACCAGGAGGCCAGCCGCAGGTCACACTCACCTCGTGCATCTTCTTCAAGCAATCGTTGCCGATTTTTAAGCCTTCGATGACTTTCATTTCAATCTGGGTAAATTCTATTTCCTCAACCTGGAAAGATGAGAATTGCAGATGAGCACAGAAGTGTAAAAACAAGTATTATCGCCCATTTTCTGACTGAAAACCTGCACAAATAAAAGACTTCATGTGGAAGAAAACAAATTCCCTCCTTGTACTGAACTTGTAGGTGTCAGACCTTCCTCCCCATTTCCTGTAAAAGCTGTCCTTTAAAAGTGGCAGCTACACCCACTCTAGATGGTCAGAACAGCTGTCAATCAACCAGCAGGAGAAATGACTGCAGAGGATTGAATGAAAGCACAGCTGTCTGTAGCTCACACAGGAGGGTGACAATGTTTTCTGCAGGAACAAATGCTGGTGGGACAGAGTTGTCACCCTATTAAAAGGAAGAAACTGGCAAGATCAACGGGTAATTCACCACTTACTGACATTTTACATATACAAGGCAAAAACAGAGCCACTTACACACCTTTACCATTCACAGGGATGCACAGATACCGTTTTTTCCAGCATCAAGTACGAGTGCCGATATTTGTTTTCCGGCACTCGCTGATACCGAGTACCGATACCTGTAATTCGGCTTCCCGGGCAATCCTAAAACTGGGCGGAGTGTCATTACCCGATGCCCGGCGTCTTGATTGCCGAGATGCCGGCTCCAAGCTGTTTGACCAACTCGATGCTGATTTGCCCGGAAGCTGGCTTCCCAGTCAGTCAACATGGAGCCGGCTTCTCAGCCAATCAGAAAGCTGGCAGGCCGGTTATTACCCATCGCCCGGCTTCCTGCTTGGCCGGGAAGCCAGCTCCATGCTGTTTGGCCGACTCGATGCCGATTGGCTGGAAAGCTGGCTTCCCGGCCAATCAGCATCGATCTGGCCGAACAGCGTGGAGCTGGCTTCCCGGCTAATCAGGAAGCTGAGCAGCGAATCACTACCCGACGCTCGGCTTCCTGATTGGCCAAGAAGCCGGCTACATGTTCCTTCGCGGAACTGCCGAAGTTCCGGTTTCGGGGGTAAGTATCAGAGCATCTGGGCAAGTGCGAGTACTCTCCCAAATACTCAGTGCCGGCACTGATACCAATACTAGTATCTGTGCATCCCTACTATTTGGGCTTACATACACTAAGTAAAAGTTAAAAACAAGGAACAAATCTTCCATAAGTGACCCGTCCAATCACCATAAACTAATTGCTGTATTCATATTCCTCGGTGAATTCAAGGCAGATATAAAAATGCTAATTACTGCAGCTGTGCATTTTGCAGTGGCAAAGAGTGCATGAAGTTGTGCAATAGTGCAATTTGGTTTTAATTAGTGCAATATCTGTATTTTCCTCCATATCAGCTTCTTGTATTACCCAGCACAGCAGAACACAGTCCGGAAGAAGGAGAACTCTAGGAACCAATCTGGTCTGCTGCATGCAAAATATACTGACAAGGAACCCACTGATAGGAGGAGAGAGTGGTCTGCTGAGCTCATCCATCTGCTGCTGCTCCTCGCTTGAAGCAGGGAGATGAGCAGGCTGTATAGAGCCAAGTCATGTTACCAGTCTGGCTTTGCTGTATGGCAGAGCTGTGTAAGACTCAGGACTCTGCAGATCTAGAGGTTTAAATGGAGTTCAGCTTTAAAGTAAACACAAAAGGCCGGGAAAGCAAATGAACGACCAAAAACGAAGGCCGGACCCACCATTTTCTCCAAGTTGCTGATCTGATTATCCGTCTTCTCCAGCAGCTGCTCCTGATATCTCTTCTTCTTCAACAGTAATTTGGCTTTTCTAGGAAAATGAAAAAAAAAACAACAACAAATCAGTCTGACGCTTTATTATGTGACATGCAAGTGAAGAATGGAAGTGAGAGAGCTTGGCAGAGCAGTGACCACATCAATAAATACCCTTTAACTGAAAAGAGGCCAGAAACATAATTACGATAACGATTGCACAGATAGAACAGCACAAATTGAGCCATTACATAACTGGGTCTCATAAGAGACATCGATCGGTGGTAGTAAAAGTATTACAACGTGTTTCTGGGGGTCTAAGCCCACCCCCTTTAACAGGGCCAGTTACCATTGTAGCTATTGCGGGAGTGTTGGCATGCGGAGCGTAGGTTGCTGTGCACACAGCCCTGGAATCCACCCTCAGAGCGAGCTGCAGATGTGATAATGCCAGAGCAGAGCCGTGTTCTAAGGAAGACATTTGGGGGGGGATTTTATCAAAACTGGAGCAGCTGTGCACGGTGACCAATCAGCTTCTCTCTTTCATTTTCAAAGCTTAATGGAACAAACTGAAGAGAGAAGCTGATTGGTTGCCCCGGTCAACTGCTCCAGATTTTGATAAATTCCCCTCATTGTATCCAGAGCTTCCCTTGTACCCCTTCTTCTCTTCTGGGATACCCACTCCCAGTTTAAACGTATAACTTTTATCCTAACAGCAGCTAAGCAAACTTTAGCCAAAGGATGGCAGTCAGCTAAACCCACATTGGCAAAAGTCAAGTGTGTGTGATGGTATCTAGTAGGAATGTACCGATAGCATTTATTTGGTATCGAGTACCAATATTTACATTTCGGTACCCGCCGATACCGAGTACCAATACTTCTGGTAGCATAGAGCCGGCTTCTAGGGCAATCAGGAATCCAGGTCAGCGTGCCATTAGCCACTGCCCGGCTTCTTGATTGCCCGGGAAGCCCGACTCCATTCTGTTTGGCCAGCTTGATGCTGATTGGCCGGGAAGCCAGCTTCCCAGCCAATCGTCACCGAGGCCGGCCAAACAGATCTGACAATATGGTGACACGACTCCCACCCTGCAGGCACCTCATTCCCCTAACATAGAGTCTTAGCAGCAGTCATTACCGTACCAGTCCATCGGCCAGCTGGGCAGACACCGCTCTCCTGGATCTGCCCACGTCTCCTGTGTGTACAGCGCCTACGTGATCGACCCTCAGCCTGCCAGTCCCCCATCGGCCAATCAGCATGGAGCCGGCCAATCAGCATGGAGCCAGCTTCCCGGCTCCATGTTCCCTCGCGGCACTACCGGAGCATTTGCGCGAGTACGAGTACTCACCCAAATACTCGGTATAAGCACCGATACTAGTATCAGTATCGGTATATCTCTAGTATCTAGCCAACAAAAAGCTTTTAGTTCCAGGACATGATTCTGTGCATGAATTCCATAAGATTTGGACACACTTTGCGTCATGGAACTCTGACCAAACGTGTCTTATGATTTAGAGTCCTCAGACTCTGGTTGCTGTTGTACATGGTTTATTTTGGGCATCCCTACCTTATCCCTCCCCAGCACCCTCTCTATACCCTTCTCCCCATATCTTCCATCACTATACTGTTTTCTGGCTTTTCCTTCTGCTTTATCCCGGGATCCTATATAAATGACGGATGCAAATATAAACATCTGGGAGAATCAACTCCATCAAGAGATTTCCCCTTCACTCTTCCTCTGGTGACAACTGTGACATGTTACATCACGTCCTTCCCCAATGATAACAGTCACCAGGACAGGAAGTGATGCGTATCCTCTCCACTGGAGTCACAGACAGCAATAAAACAATGACAGGATTCTTCCCCTGGCTGGAGTTCCCCTTTAGAGCTCCCCGTGCCCGGACAGAGGCCTCGCTTACTCTTTTTTGCCATTGTGGAGAAGCTGTTTGGCCACTTCCCGCTCACGCTGCAGCTGTAGTGTGATCTTCTTCTGATACTGTTTCAGTTTGTCCCTCTGCTGCTTGAGTTGCTGAAATACAAAAAAAAAAACCCCAATATACAATGAAACCCTTTACTCTGAATACATGCACTGTTTGGTGTCAGAGACGCCCCCAGAAATGTCACTTCCTGCTTCTGTGATTGGCTCACTGGTTTTCTCTGAATGAAGTTACAAGTCAAATTTTAGGGCTTGTTCACACCGAAAGCGTGTGTGTTCCAGAGCGGTAGCTGCTGAACGCACCGCGATCGCCGAGAAACTTCCCCCCGCGTTTTGGGTTGGGAGGGGGCGTGGCGGTGCATTGAATTCAATGGCACCGCTTGCACGCCGCCGCCCCCAGTGTGATCAGACGCGTGGCAAAACTTTGCCAGCGTTGCGTTCCACTGCAAACGCAAAATATAGGGCTTGCTCCGCGTCTGATCGCACTGCCGGTGGGGTGGGAGGTGGAGTGTGGAAACGGTGCCATTGAATTCAATGCACCGCCACTGCCCCTCCCGGCCCGAAACGCGGGGGGAAGTTTCTCAGCGATCGCTGTGCGTTCCAGCAGCTACCGCTCTGGAACGCACACGCTTTCGGTGTGAACAAGGCCTTAGGCATCTCCTGTAATAGGAATTTCAGTTTTGGTGAGATAAGCTCTTAAAGTATCATTAAAGCCTCCGGTGTTTTTGCATATATATGTACGACTAGCAAGCAGTAGATATATGCAAAACGTGTCTTCCCCGCACGCTCCCGTCCAAAAATCTGAAAATTCTCGGGCGGCCGCAAAGCATCCTGGGGCGGGCGCATGCGCAGTTCACCATTTTCGGCCGGGAGACGAGGAGAGACACAAGGCAAGTCTATGGACGCGTGTCAATGAAACCCTTTACTCTGAATACATGCACTGTTTGGTGTCAGAGACGCCCCCAGAAATGTCACTTCCTGCTTCTGTGATTGGCTCACTGGTTTTCTCTGAATGAAGTTACAAGTCAAATTTTAGGGCTTGTTCACACCGAAAGCGTGTGTGTTCCAGAGCGGTAGCTGCTGAACGCACCGCGATCGCCGAGAAACTTCCCCCCGCGTTTTGGGTTGGGAGGGGGCGTGGCGGTGCATTGAATTCAATGGCACCGCTTGCACGCCGCCGCCCCCAGTGTGATCAGACGCGTGGCAAAACTTTGCCAGCGTTGCGTTCCACTGCAAACGCAAAATATAGGGCTTGCTCCGCGTCTGATCGCACTGCCGGTGGGGTGGGAGGTGGAGTGTGGAAACGGTGCCATTGAATTCAATGCACCGCCACTGCCCCTCCCGGCCCGAAACGCGGGGGGAAGTTTCTCAGCGATCGCTGTGCGTTCCAGCAGCTACCGCTCTGGAACGCACACGCTTTCGGTGTGAACAAGGCCTTAGGCATCTCCTGTAATAGGAATTTCAGTTTTGGTGAGATAAGCTCTTAAAGTATCATTAAAGCCTCCGGTGTTTTTGCATATATATGTACGACTAGCAAGCAGTAGATATATGCAAAACGTGTCTTCCCCGCACGCTCCCGTCCAAAAATCTGAAAATTCTCGGGCGGCCGCAAAGCATCCTGGGGCGGGCGCATGCGCAGTTCACCATTTTCGGCCGGGAGACGAGGAGAGACACAAGGCAAGTCTATGGACGCGTGCACCCGCATGCAGACACCGTGGGACATGAGAGAAGAGGAGGGCAGGGGAGTCAGCGCCGGATCGGAGACCCGCCGCATCGATGGAGGGACAGGCGAAAAGTACGGGAAAGAAGATCGGATTAACAAACATCATTTAAGGTAAGTGCTTTCACTAACATTGGGGGAGGGAAAACATTTTTTGACTTTAATGTCACTTTAAGGGTTAACTTCTTCTAAAAGGATGCCGAAAACTGCAGCTTTCCTCATCAGAACACACTGAGATCTCACCAGGTGGTTATAATGATTGCAGACCCTTCTATTCTTCTGCAACCAGACCCCGCCCGTACAGCTACCAAACCCCACCCGTACAGGAACCAGGCCGCGCCCAATTCGGAACCAGGCCACGCCCAATCCGGAACCACACCCCTTCCCATTCAGACATCAGTCTAGAAAGGACACAGTGAAACAAACAGTTAAATCTTCAGAAATGAAACATTTCGGAATCTGGTAGGGCTGTGGAAATGAAAGATTAATTTCTTGATTAATCGTTAAACTTTTTGATCGATTAAAATTATTTTGATCGCCAACGAAAACCCTCAGCTCTCCGCCGGCTTCCGGGAGTCCCGTCGGATATCCGGTGACGCCATGGACATCGACGTCACCGGACTCCTCCCCCCCTTCCCCAAGTGGCTCCGTCGGCTAACGAAGGGAAGGGGGGGAGGAGTCCGTCGATGTCCGTGACGGCTAACGAAGGGAAGGAGTCCGGTGACGTCGATGTCCGTGACGTCACCGGACTCCTCCCCCCTT